CCCAACACTTTACTCCTGGCCCTTATCCACACCTCTTTGGTTCCTCCCACCCCTTGAGTGTGGCTGGACTTATGACTTGCTTTGGCCAACAGAATTAAGCAGAAGTGATGTTCCAAGTCTAAGCATACACCTCTTGCACACTCTGATTCTTCCTCTTGCCTCAAGACTCTGCCATTGCCAGAGACAAGTTGGGTAACCTGCTGAAACATAAGAGATTATGTGGAGAACTGAGTGGTCACAGCCAAGATCTTTCTTAATCAGTCAGTCTCCATCTGACTCACCAGTTGACTGCAGACACACCGGAAGCCCAACTGAGATCAGCCTAATTGGCCCAGCCAACTCATAGACTTATGAGAAATAACTACTGTTTTTTTTTTTAAGTCACTAAGTTTGGACCTCCTTTGTTATGCACACTATTGTGGCACTAGATAGCTAATACAGCCTCTGTGGGTGAAATTTTAAAGAAAACGGAACCACAAAAATTGCTTGCATTCAGTGAGTAATGATTGCCATTAGTAAACTTCTGTGAGCTAAACATAGCCTGGGGTGACTATCCTTAATAGCTACCGCTTAAGAAAGCAAACTGAAATGTGAGTTAAGGAGGCATAATTATAGGAATAATTTTGAGTCTGCTCAAGTTATCTTAAAAATGTTATTTGCAGGCTCCCCTAAAACAATCATGATAGAGGAGACTCTTGTTATCCTTTTTCCTTCCCCCAATCATTGACCTGTGTGCTCTGTCCCTTCTCTAATAAATACTGACTTGCAGCTAATAGACTAACTTCTCTTACCAAGTAGAGTGAAATATTTGAGTGGATTCCAAAACCTGCGCATGGCAGTTGTCCTTGCATCGCTTAAGGTTTCATTCTATTAGTGGAGCCTGGAACAGTGTCTGACATGTAACAGGAGCACTATAAGTAGTTGCTGAATGAATTTGTTGAACAAATCAGTTGCAAATTGCTGGAAATAGACATCACAACAGAGCCAGACATGTCTTCACACATCAATGTGTTTTCATGCTGAGTTTGAAAACCAGTAATCTCTAAGCCGAAAGAATAGCTTGGCTTTCCAGCAAACCTCTTTAAATAGCTCTTTTTTATACAGGTCTTCAACAAAGACCAAAATTGTAGGCCGTTGGTGTCACTAGCATGTATCAAAACCACCTAGAAGACTCATTAAATCACAATTGGCTGGAGTCCAACACAGAGTTTCCACTTAGTAAGTCTGGGTAAGACCCTAGAAGTTGTATTCCTGACAAGTTCCCAGGTAGTGCTATTCCAGGGACCAAACTTTGATAACCACTGATCTAGCATACCCTGAACATAGGCAATTAACAAAGACATCTGTTTCTTCCCCTGCCCACCTACCCACAGGTGGTTATGTGGGTGTCCCCTGGGATGTCCCCTGGCAGGAAGTGGAGGTTCTGAATGGTCCTTGGATCATGTCGTACACACAAAACAATTTGCCTTTCAATTTGCCAATGAATAATTTGAAGAGAGAATGAAAGGAGAATTTGTGTTAAAAGAAGGAATGCCAGAAGGAATGCCAAGGCCATACATTCTTCTTGAAAGAAAGAAGAAAGAGTCGAGGCAAGGAACCGGGACTGTCAGAGTCAGAATATCCACTGCTTGTGCCCTCCCACAATCTCCTCTGGGACGTAACCAGGAGACACAATCACCTGTTTACCAGCTGCAAGAAAATGTGGAGGGAATCTGAACAGTCGTCTCTGCTTTCCTGGTTAGCACCAGCAGGAAAAAGGAGTGTAGAGGTTTACTGAAAGCCACTACAAGGGCTGGGAGTTTTAAAACCTCTCTTCACACCTTTTATGACATAACTGTTACTGACTTATTTTCTTTATTTACATGGAGTAAAATTTACTCTTTTTACTGCACAGTTGTATGAGTTTTGGCAAATGATCCAGTCGTGTAGTCACCGCTGCAGTGGCGATACAAATATTCCATTACCTCCCCCCATCCCTTCATGTTGCCCCTTTGTAGTCTAGTCCTCCCTCTGTGCCCTAGCAGGGATGTCGAAACTTTTGGCATCTCTGGGCCACAGTGGAAGAAAAAGAGTTTTCTTGGACCACATCTTAAATATATTGAGACACATAATCACAAGTAAACCTTACACTGTTTTAAGTAAATTTATGATTTTGTGTTGGGACACATTCACAGCCCTCTGGGACTACATGAGGCCCAAGGTCTGCGGGTTGGACACCCCGGCTACAGCTTTGCCTTTTGGAATGTTCTATAGGTGGAGCACAGTATGTAGCCTTTTGATTCTGGCCTCTTTTGCGTAACATAATGCATCAATTATGTGGTTCATGTATCACCAGTTTGATTTTTTTTTTACTGAGGAGTGAGTTTGTGGTAGGGATGTGCCACAGTGTGTTTATCCCTCCCCAGCTGAGATGTTTCTGGTTGTTTCAGTTCTTGGTGCTTGTAAATAGAGCTTCTGTAAGTAGCCCTTGTAAACAGAGTTTGTGTACAAGTTTACCTTGTGAACATAGTTTTCATTTTTTTTTTAGGTAATTACCTAGGAGTGGGATTTCTGGGTCATATGGTAAACGTATCTTTATAAGAAACTGCCCAAGTGCTCTGAGAAGCAACTGCCCCATTTTCGCTGTCCTCTGAAATCGCTGAGTGATCTTTCTGAACTTCATGCTACACATTGCTCTGGCTCCCAGGCACATGGCACAGCCTTCACCTCAGGAGTTCACAGAGGTAGCTACCAGGAGCATGAGCCACCTGGGAGATGCTGAGGTTAGAGGTTTGGGGAAAGGCAGGAAGGCTGGGCTTCCCTCCTCCAGCCCCTCCCAGCTTCCAGACCCATTTGTTGAAGCCTGTGTGCCTTCTTCCTGAGGGAGGCTTTGAGCCTACCTCTCTCCTCAGCAAGCATGCAATCTCCCAAACACCACCCTCCTGGGTCAGGCTTTGTTGCCAGATAATGTGACTTTGAAAAGAAGCCCTTCTCCTCCCCCGAAAAGGAGGCTAAGAAAGGCTCTCAGATCAATCCTCAGCAGATACACCCAGTCACAAGCTCCAGCAAATCCTTTATTCTCTTCTCGAAGCAGCTGCTGCAGCACCCCACCCCCCAATTCTGCCCCCAGTGGAAACCCGAAAGCTATTCATATCATTTAATCCTGTTGAAAATCCTCTTCGTTCTCTTTCACTGAGGTGCGGTCGCCGAGGTAAACCTGGGCTTAAATTCATATGTTGGAAAGGAGATGAAAGGTAGTCACATGATTTGACATCCTATCCTGGAAGCTGACCCTTCTCTAATCTAGAAGCTTCGATTTGTAACCCTTGTTTGAGAGTGTTTAAAATAAGGTCTTCAATGAAAAGTAACATTTGAATTTTCTTTTACTGTGCTTTCACTTCAGAAAAGATAGCAAAATTGCAGAGGTGAAGCAGAAATGGTTCCAGAGTGTTGAAGTAACCTTTTACCTATGGGTCATTCAGTTTAAGCATCTACCAAATTTTTTACACTTTGTCTTGGACGTGGTGAAAGAAAACTCTATGAACATTTTACCCTATTGCTAATCACAGCCACATATCTTGGATCTCTCCCCTGAAACCAAGAAGTATGATCTTATAGTCAACTTCTTTAATTTTAAGAAATTTGGTCATGAGATACTGATATATCCAAAAAGCATCAAACCTGCTCTTTTTATTTCAGAGCTTATGCTCCTAGACTTTTTGAGGTCTTTCCAGACTGGGAAAAGGCTCTCCATAAGAGTTCCATAGTTCATGCAGTTACAGAGAAAGCAAAAGAACATAGGAAATTTAATTCATGCATCAAAGAATAAATTGTTCTGCCTTGTGTTGGGACCCAAGCAAGATTTGGAGAATAAATTATCCCAGGTGGCTAATTTAGGGTGAATTCCCTGTGAGGAAAATTACTATAAGACCCCCATGAAGTCTCAATCCCCTGCCTGGGAAACATTTAATGAACTTCTGAAGGCTGGATGGTCCAGAAAGGACATTGGAGAAACAAAGATGTAAGGGCAATTCTGGAGGTTTTTTTGTAATCTTAAGGAACATAAAACAATATGAGAACAGTAGCAGGGAGATGAAACCTGTAGTCAGTGTTCACAGTTCTGCTGCACATTGGAATCACCTGGGGAGCTTTAAAAAGTATTGATGACTGGGCCCCACCCTCAGAGACCTGGTGTAATAGGTCTAGGTTGGAGCCGGGGCACCAAAGCTGTTTAAATCTTCCAACATATAGCCAAGGTTGAAATTTGGCTCTGGACACCCATGTGCTAAGTAGGTGAGTGAGCTAATGACATTACCAGAGCCTTCTCTTCCACAGAGGGCCCATCAGATGTGCATCTCATGGTGCAATGCGCTGGGAAAATTAGGTGAGAGAAAGCTTTAGGACACATAAGAAGACTGAGATCTGCAGTTGTGGTGAAGGAGAAACTGAGAAAATGCCACACTGACAGTTGTCAAGTGGGGACTGAAGAAATCAGAAAGTGTGGGAGAGTCGTTAAAAGAATGAGTTTCTTGTGGATGGTGTTTCCCATGCTAAAAGTACTTTTACATGTATTTTCTCTTATGACTGTAGAGGCAATAAAACATAAAGAATAAAAGATAGATAGAATTGGGTTAGAATCCCAGTATGGCTATTGATTAGCTCTATAATCTTGGGCAAGTTACTTAACACTCTAAACCTGTCTTGTCATCTGTAGAATAGAAGTAATAGTACCTTCTTCACAGGGTGGTTGGGAAAATTAAAGGGTGGATGGAAAATGTTTAGCTCCATACTTAGAACGTGTTTTACCTGCAGTTGCCATTATCATCGTCAGGGTCATCACTGCATGGGGGATGGGGTGGAGACCTAAGGTCATCCTCAACCAAGAAATAGATGGGAGTAAAGGGTGAATGAGTGCAGGGCTTTTTTTTTTTTTTTTTCCTGAAGAAAGAGAGTAGAAACAAAACATGTTTAAAAATCCCATAAACTAAGGATAAATGACCTTTTTATTTATTTATTTTTAGAGACAGAGGAAGGGAAGGAGAAAGAAAAGGAGAGAAACATCGAAGTGCAAGAGATACATCAATCGGTTGCCCCTCACACGCCTCCAACAGCGGAACTGACCTGCAACTCAGGCATGTGCCCTGACCTGGAATTGAACCAGCAACCTTTCAGTTCACAAGTCAGTATTCAATCCACTGAGTGACACCAACCAAAGTTAAAGGAGATTTTTTTAAGGCACCATGATTGGTACATTTGAGCTCTGAGATGCTCCCTATGTTTGAAGAAGTCTGTGTTTATACGGCACTTTCAAAGGAAAAGAGATTGACTGTAACCAGTGAGTGAGGCAGTATTTTGTATAATTGCTCAACTGAGAACTTGTTGGGTTGATTTGAGTTGAACCTGAAGCACCTAGGATAGCAGCAACGCCAACTTTTTGGATGGAGTTGACTCTAGTGAGAGAACTGCAGAGAGGGTGTGTGCCAGGCCATGATCGGTGACAGAGCGTGAGTCCTGGGCTTCAGTGCATGCACCAGGGAAAGAGGAGCCAGATGACTGAGAAAAAGGATACCAGTGTCTGTGTCTGAGAAGTTGTTGGTAGGGCACAATAATAGAAATGAATGGGCAGCTCAGGAAATGAAGTCAAGGGGGGCCCAAATGGAGGCATTGCCACAGGAAAGATGAGAAGGATGGCAGGAAGGGCCCAGTGTTTCACCAAAGGTCACTGTTAACGTATCTCTCTTGGTTTTATGGCCTCAGACAAAGGGAAAGGTGAGTGATGATTGCCCAACTCCCTTTTCACTCTGGAGTCCTGGACACCCACTCTCTTCTACCTGCCCTCTTGCATTGTCCTTCTTGAATTCATAAAGTCCTTCAGGGGCTACCTTCTTAGAAAGCTGCCCGACAGTTCCCTAAGATCTTGTCAGCCTCGTGCTTCTAACAGTTGAGTGTACATAAGAATTGCTTTGAACAATTAATAAACAAATTTGCTCCCCTACTCCCAAAACCATTCTGATTCAGCAAGTCTGGGATGAGGGTAGGGGTGAGAATTTGCTTTCAGAAGCTTTCAGCAGCTTCCAGAGGCTCCCGATGGTCTGAGGTCCACACTTTGAGTGGTCCTCCCTGGATCCTCTCAGGTAGGGCTTCTCAGTGAAAGTTAGTAATTGAGAAGACTCAAATGTTGGTCCTTTTGGAGGAGATTTTGTGGAAACTAGAGTGTGAGAGGTCAATGTTCTCTCAAGAAAAGTCACCCTTTCTCTCTGTGTCCCACCTAAGCATATGAGATATCAAGGTATAAAATGAGGGTGAGAAGTATTGTTAAATTTTATAGATTCAGAGTCTCTATGCCAATGGCCCCCATACATGGAAATGTGTGTGTGTGCGCCTATATGAGTGTTGAGAAGAAAGACCTCCTCCTCTTAATGATCTTTTTAACAATCTTATCCACTCTGCTCAGTTTCCTTTACAGTTTGAGCCTTAAACCCAAAACTTTTCACAAGGGATCCTTTTGTTTCCCCTTTATCTGCCAGGATGAAATCCTCAGTTCAGCTGGACCCCACCTTACTCTCTTTCTGAACCTCATAAATAGCATTTATAACTTGAAGAGATGTCTTTTTAGGAGCCAAGTCTGATCTAAATGTTCTGCCAAAATAAAGTCCTCTGTTTTGACCAATAGTCCTGCTTTCTTTAAACATGTGGACTTCCGAGGTTTGGTTACCAATGGGGGTATACGATTCTGCCGGTTCTGGGAAAATCAAAGGTCTTCCTATGGACAGCCAAGTTGAGAGATCAGAACAGCACAGTTTGGTGTAAACAAATCCATCTCAATTGCTATTTTGGGTTTGTAACTGCTTGAATAGCTGAGAAATCTCACTGTGGAATCATTTTACCCAACCAGTCTTATTTTGTAGACTTGCCACCTGTCCTAAGGTAGCCTAGGTTGAGTGAAGCCCACTGTCCCTGTGTTCCCGCAAAAAGAGGTGGTTCTTAGGCAACAACTGGAGTTATTTTGATTTCTATATTTTGAAGCCAGAAACTGCTCATGTGGAACTTAAAAAAAAACTGATTTTTTTTTCCTAGAAAAAACTCCTAGCTGCAATTTGAAGGCAGGATTCTATTAAAAACAGACAAATAATTCCCATTCCTTCCTGGTCCTGCCTATTGTTTTCCTAAGTTTGTTTGGATTCCCAGATTGAATCCTGCTGGCTAACCCTCAAAAGAGAGGGTCCTGGCCACTGTCATCCCATGAGGTGGCTGTCTCATAAGCTCTTTGGGGAACACATCCTGTTTCTCCGTCAAAGAGGCATTTGGAGGATGTGGGAGAATGTCTGCTGTCTTCCCCATTCAGAGAGCCTCTATTTCCTCCCTGTGTTTTGTCTATAGGCTGCTTCAGTCTTTGTAAGAACCTTTCTTAGGAAGAAATATTGGTCAAGAGACAATATTACTTATAGGTAATAAGTAGCAAGCTATGGAATTGGTTTAAGGAACCCATGACCCTGCCCCAACAAGTAAACACACCCCCACCTCCAGACACATCAAGGACAATTATCTGATACTCACACTGTGCCGTTAGTTGCATTCAGCTGATGATGCCCTGTGTGTGCCACATCCTTTTATGCCATGGATGGCATCCCTAATCATGTGACTGTGGCTTCCTTTTCCCAAGGAACCCTGGTGTGCCCAATGTTCTTCATGCAGCCTCTGCTCATTAATTAGAGCTGGGATGCTAGTTGCAATCTAATAGCCATCCCTCAGTCAAGCGTTGACTTTTCTTTTCAGAGGAAAATATTCTGCAAATAGTGACATAGTGATATTGTCATCTTCAAGAGAATTTTGGCTTTCTCTTTTTGTAGGTTTACATGACCATGCTGCTTAGTTAGGACAAGCAAAACGACACTGCCCTAGATTTCCTTGCTCTGTGGTGAGTGCAGGTTTGTACCAGTAAATGTAGATGCAGTTGGTTGTATACATGAGTGAGCCCTTGCTTGCTGAGAAAATGTCTAATTGAGAAATAATGAGAGAGGAAACTTTTTTTTTCAGTCTAACCATGAGGGATCCATTGCTGATTAAATATATCTGGTAAAAAAAAATCACTTATCTTAAGCTTTAAACTGAAACCTCTTAAGCCCCTTTTCCAGAATATTGAAAATACAAATGGTCATGTTGTATTATTTCCAAGTTGCCTTTTCCTTAGGGAAATGTGATGTCTGAGACTGGCAGACACGGAGCTCTGCGCATCCTGATAAAGACAGGCACTTGAGGCTAGCAAAAAATCCAAATAAACAGATTTTCAAACAAACCAGCTTTCCTTTGGGTAGCTGAAAAGGAAACCCCACATCCAGAAGGAATGCAGATCAAAGCAGAGACTACAAATGATGCAGAAATACATAAAATAACAAACAAGCCTGGTGGGAAGAGGGAACTTTTTGTAAAAGAATAGGCCTCTTCACATTACACTGAAATTGAATGCAAGATTGCAAGCAAAGATACATGCATTGGGAATACAAAGCTATAGTTTCTTTTCCCTTTTTGGGACTGAGGGTATACCTTTAGTAGGTCAAATTGGAAGCCACTAAAAGCAGTGGACAAAAGATCGGCTCATTGTTGGAAATCTTGCCTCGTTTACCTTTAGCGGCTGCCTTTGCCTCTCTCTTTCTTGGTATAAAATGGACAGAATAATTAATCCGTTCTGGCTGTAAAGGGGGAAGCTGAATGACTGTGGTCTCCCAGCATTCCATGTCAATAGCTGAATCTCTTTTACTTTTGCAAGCCTGGTTCTATTTAAATGGGTTCTCAGGTGTGATACAGATTAAAATTGTAGACATGATGACATTTTCATTCAGGGGCTGTCCTTGCCCCTGGTGTTAAAGTTTATTTGGGTTAAAGTATTAGGACATTTTATCCTCAGGAATTAAGCTCATTTAAGTCATATCTTTGTTCTGATAGGGAGGTGCTAAGCGGCCACTAAAGACAGGGAGTACTATTGAATGCTGTTACTCACTATATAAAAATCAAGATTACTGTAAGTGCTAAGTGTTTTATACTTTTTGAGAACCATTGGAATGAATACTTGGTGGTGTTAGAGTCCTCTTTAAAGACCCCAAGGTGTGTAGGCACATTTGATTGAGCTTCTAGCTCATATGTTACCTCTGTTTGGAAAGGGAAGTTGACTGTCACTTTTAGGTAATTTTTAGTAACTTGACCTTCAAAGCATACCCTAGGTGCATTACCTGGGGTATATTCCCCAGTGTGGAACTTTGGGTCACTGCATGTATTTATTTTTAAATATACAGGCTGCTGCCAAATTGCTCTCCTCAGCTGTTGCATCAATTTGCATTCCTACCACTGTGTTAATAATTCTGTGTTCTATTGTTTATATTCTAAACCCTATTATCATACCTAACAACATTTTTAAGCCAATTTTTTGATGGATGGGAAATGGTATTTCGTTTTGATTTGCACTCCCCTGATTAAGTATGAAGTTCATTACCTTTAGAGATGATTATTGGGTGTTTCGATTTCTTCTTCAGGGAATCATATCTTTGGCCCAGTTTCTTTTTTCTTATGAGTCGTTTGTCTTTTTTTCTGCAGATTCAAAGGAGTGAGTTATATTATATATTCTGTCATAACAACCATTAAAAAATATCCTCAGTTTTTGGCTTGACTTTATATTTTTTAATGGTGTCTTTTGATATAAAGAAGTGTTAACTTTTAATGTAGTTGAATTTACTAATCTCTGTTTTTGTGATTTGTATGTTAGTGAAAATCTTTATTATCTTGAAATCATTAGCAGATTCTCTCATATTATCACTTCTATGCCTTTAGACCACCCTGAATAATTTTTTTGTGTGTTTAGTGTAGATCAGGAATTAAATTTTATATGTAATGAGCTGTCCCACTAGAACCATTAATATATAGTCCATTGTTTTCTTAATAGTCTGCAGTGCTTCTTGTGTTACATGTCCCATTTTTCAGGTATGAATGGAACTGTTTCAAGGATCTCTCTTATGTTCTATTGCCTTTGTTTATCCTTGTGCCAGTATCACACTGCACTCATCACTATCACCAGACATAAAAATAATAGACATTTGGTAAGTGTGTTTCTTCATTTATCCTCATTCTTCTTTTTCAAAATTGATTTGGCTATTCTTGAGCCTTTGCTCTTTCCTATAGATTTTATAGTCTGATTATTAAGGTCCATAAAAACTGTGGAATTACATTAACATTATGTTTTGATTTGCGTAACCACATCTTTTACAATTTGTCTTCCTACCAATGAACATGGTGCACTGCTTTGTTTATTTAAATTTTTAAAGATTTGGTTTATTTTATTTTTAGAGAGGAAAAGAGGAAGAGAAACATCAATGTGTGTTTGCCTCACAATGTGTGTTAAGACACAACAACCAGCACATTGAGGTTATTGCTTTAATGCTCTTCAAGTAAAAATTTGCATTTCTTTGGTTCGATTCTCAGGTACCTTATATTTTTTATTGCTGTCAGTTTCCATTGTTTGCAGTCCAGAACACTGACAATAAACATTTATATTCATGTTCCAAGTTTAAGATATATTTCGAGCTCAGGGGCTGTATAAGACATAGTTGTTATCTTTGTGTCTCACATTCTCACTGAGGAACAAAGACATGATGAAGTGCCAATCATCATCAGAGTTAGGTGATATTAAATAGTACAGAAGAGGAAAGAGGCCATGGCTGAACTGGTTTAGTTGAAGAAGAACTCAAACAAGGTGGGGTTGAAAGGCTGGGTAGCATTTTGATAAAAGATAAAATATGTACTTTGGAAGAAAGTTTGCGAACATGAACTTGCACATGTTTAAGTGTCAGAGGATTGGAGATAATAAGAAAAAAGATTCACCCTGGTCAATGTGGTTCAGTGGATTGAGTGCTGGTCTGCAAACCAAAGGGTCACCAGTTCGATTCCCAGTCAGGACACATGCCCGGGTTGCAGGCAAGGTCCCCAGAAGGGGATGTGTGAGAGATAACCACACATTGATGTTTCTCTCCCTCTCTTTCTCTCTCTTCCCTTCTCTCTAAAATAAATAAAATCTTTAAAATATATAAGACAGAAAGCCCTGGCTTGTGTAGCTCAGTGGATTGAGTGCAGGCCTGCAAACCACACAATCAAGGTTCAATTCCCAGTCAGGGCACATTCCTGGGTTGCAGGCCAGTTTTCAGCAGGGGACTTACAAGAGGCAACTGTACATTGATATTTCTCTCCTTCTCTCCTTCCCTTCCTCTCTAAAAC